CATATTTTAAGTTTATTCAATGGATTTTTCCCTACTTGACCTTCAAATGACCACGAACCTGACGTGAAGGAGGCTAACGGACCTCGGATTCGCATTCAGCATGTCGAATAACATTTGGAATATGAAGGTTTGGTTTAATATGCATACACTTTTTTTTTTGTAAACCTGTGTGATTATTGAGTTTTATTTTTCCACTTAAAAATAATGATTATTTATAAAATTGAAAAGGCTATACAAAGGCAACTTACTGAAGTTTTGACCTGATAATTTTGGGACTTATTTCCTTTATTAGGGTGTCGCTACCTATGAAAAGGATACGGCGGAAATCAAGCTGGTATAGCTTTTGAGATTTTTGAATGATCATTATTCTTAGGTGAAACAAATAAAACTCAATAATAATTATTATGCTTGAGCGAAAAAATAAAAATCATAAAATAATCATTATTTGTGATCGAAAAAATAAAAATCAAGTAATAATAATTGCCTTTGAGCGAAGAATTAAAGTCAAATATTTATTATTATTTTTAATCTTTATTAGTCAAACTCGAAAAATAAAAATTATTTCAAATTACAGTGGGACGTACGAACACAAATACGTGAATATAGTCAAAATTGTTTTACTATGATTACAACTTGTTTATTTCTTTTTTGTAAAAATAAAAAAAAAATAATGATTCATTTTTCTTGGCTTTTCAACGTTGATTCCTTTTATTACTATAAACACAAGAAAATAATATTAAATAAAAACATTTTTTTTTTAAGTTACAGCAATTATTAAAAATATTAGTAATGCTCGAAATTCCTGCCCGATTCCCTTACAGATGTCATTTGATACGTAGCAGACATTAAAAAACAGTCGACACGTCAATGCTGATGTTGCTCTCACTGACTCATTCTGACTCCGTAAAAGCTAATCGTACTATGGAATTTAACGGAACGTAAACGAAATATTAATTTGAATCTAAAAATTTTATCGTGGTCTGACAGACCAACAATAGTACTTTAGGGTTAAGCTAAATTCAAGAAAAATAGGCCCACCATCTAAATATTTACGTATATATCAACGGTTGAGTGGAAGATCGACTTATCTCGGCAGCCGCTTCGAAATAACCCTATTTCAGAATTTGGCTGAAGAACGCTCTATGTCAGAATTTTATTGAAGATACCCTATTTCGGAATTCGGTTCAAAATTGTCCTATCTCGGTTGCTGTTTCAAATACGCTCTATCTCAACATTTTTTCAATATATTTCCAATTGAGATAGGGCGATTTGGTTTGGTTTAGCCCCCGAGTTATCAGAGTGTTTATGGCGGCAAGGGCTGTTGTTGTAACGTGCACTTAACGGAACCCATGCTGATTCCTCGGTGAGGTTAGGTGGTACGTATAATGCGAGAGAAGCAAGGCCTCAAGTGTCTTCGTTACCAGGGAATGGAGGGTTATCGGACGACAAGACTCTCTTTTGTTGGTCGGTTCTTCCGGTTTGGGCCGTGTGACCACTCTCCCCGTTTTCCAGATATCTGGAACGATGATAATGGCCACTGAAAAATTGAGAACCTTGGTTGTATAGTCTACTCCAGCAGGACCCAATTTTTTCAGCATCAGCGTGCATATTTCGCCGGGTCCAATAGCTTGGGAGGCTTTCGCCTTCCCGATCGCTACCAGATCTTCCACGATGAAAGACAAAGCCACACTAAGTGTTGGCACTTTGTGCATTCTTCTGGTCACTCGACGTTTTTGGCTTTGTCCACCGGAGGAAACAGCGTCAACTGCGGCTAAAGTAGCTCGCGCATCGCTTCGGGTCGGACGAAGCACGGTTACCGAAAAAGATTTTCTCTCTGTCGTCGCGCTTCGGTTTAGGAAATTTTACTGTCGAAAATATTTTTGAGGGGCGGTGCCACCTTTTTGAAAAATTTTATTCAGCTTAGTTGATATGATAAGGTAAGTATTGAATTAGTATACTTTTGAAGCAAGTGCGCGATATGTAGACTCAATTTATGAGATTATAAATTAAATTTCCACGAGAAAGCCGATACTCGACCTACTTTTTTACTTCGAAAATATACTAACTATAAACCCCCATAAAAATAAAGAATGCTTAATAAATCGAAAATTTGTTTGAAAATATCCATTTATAAAGATCTTTAAATCTGGGAGGGAATAACAACACAAAAATACTTTTAAGGCGCAGTGAAGCACGCCCGGTACCCCTATTTGCTAGTCTACAATGAAATTTCAATTTGTTAGCTTTAGTCCTAAAATTACCACGGACATTTCTAAAGGTTTTTCGAAGTAAACAATAATCGTTCGAAACAAACATTTTTACTGAATGGGTGTATTCTTTTGGAAACTGCTATAAAATTTTACATTTTTGCAAAAACACTTTTTTTGACACCTGGCGTAGTATTGTTTCGTTTTTTTTTTTTTTACGGAGCTCAATATATTCAGAATTCGCTTCGAAGCTTTTGTTAACGAGACTTTAACCTTCAATATATTCCGAAGCTTTTCATGCTTAAAATTTTCTTCGTTTTACCTATACACACCATATACAACAATTTTGTTATACAGAGATTTTCGATTCATCTAGGTTGGTTATGTCGAGGTCTCACTGTACTTTGTTCCTTTATTCCAATGAAACCATTTATGTGAATGCAAATACATAGCATGCTCGTGTTGCAGTTGCATACAAATAAATAAAACCCAAGTAAGTCCAATGAATTCGAGTTTGCTTGCCTATTTGTTTTGTTGCTACGCAGTATTGGATAAATCTCTTTCAACTTCATGTATGCTGTATGCTAATGTTATCACGTATTTTTACTGGGTTTTATTCGAATGAAGAAAAAATCGGAGCAAATAAGAAGCAACAAACAAAGAAAGGTCTCTTCTATACGCTTATCTAAGTAAGTAAGTAGAAGAAAGTATTCACAACAATACAACAAAACCCACAATTAATTATACACACCTTGCAGCTATGTACATACTCTACAATAAAAATCGCATTTCTCATTTTATTTGATAAAAAAGATTAACATAACAAGCATTTAAATATACATAGTACATATTTACGTGCGATAAGGCACTGAAATAGTATACGTGTACGTCTACATAAATACATACATACGAGTTCGAACATTTAAAATGCATATGCGGGCGTATAAAATCTGTAAATCGGCTACAAAGTGTTTAATATTAAATGTTTGCTTGCCATGACACAAGTGATTACATATATTTAGTTACTATAATAATTTTCATCCCTTTGTTTTTTTTTTTTTTGTTTTCTCTAAGGATCTAACAACGACATTTTTTATTCACTTATTCGTACTTAAGCACTATGTAAAGGTAAAATTTATGTATGTTGGTATGTATGTATGTATGTA